GATTTCCCAAGCGATTATGCGTCCACTGGGAAAGCTTTAGTAATTTATATAAGTAATATATATGTTCTTAGATCCTCTCATGTACTTGTAATAAACTCTGGGAACAAGATTTGCAATTTTAAATAATCTCTTTGGCTCGAAAGTACTTGAAAAAAGAAAACTTGATCATGCCAAGTTGCCAACTGGCTAAAGCAACTAATTAGAGAAATTATATGAAGAATAATCAGCTCTACTTGACAGTATTGTTATCAGCTAATTCTATTGTTTTAACTTATCAACTTCACGTCCAAGCATCACTTTGAAACGAGTAGTACTGGTGGGGCCGGAAATACGGGTTGTGATAAGATGACCCGATATGATTTTTTCTGGGTTAGTATTGAAAAAATAGGTCTTGAGTTATTTAGTGGACCCGAAATTGACTTGTCAAAAAACTTTGTGCATTTCAACCCTCATCACAATAAATTCACCTGCTTAATTACTCTATTATTTTAAAACTATTGTTTTTCCTATTTTTAGTTAGGTGTGTTTTGAACTTTTTAGGATTTAATTAGTTGTTATAGTATGAAATTGATTTAATTTTTAGAGCATATGTTTTTTATGTTGTTTTATAAGATTTTAATGCATAAATTGTAGATATAGATTAAAACAAAAAAAATCACGGATCATTGATGGATTGCAGGTTAATTTCAGTTTGATTTCGAGTTGAGTGTGTTGTGAGTAGATTGGGGGTCATATGTCACAAAGGTAACATGTTCGTGCGGGTCGTACGTGTTACTGTCAATCCGTGTTAAGGCGGATCGTGTTGTGGGTTTAGATTGCTGAACCCGTTTGTGTCGCATAACGTGTTAGGGTTGGAGTAGCTTTTACAAATATAGACCCTCAACTCAACTCAACAGTAACACGAGCCACCAACACAGATTGTCACTCATAAGTAGTGGTACATGTATTTTACTATTTTACAGGTCCTTCCTCTAACTTGGATGAATATGATTTTATTTATTACACAACTTAAAGCCCCTTTTCACTTTGAGCACGAAGTGTACAGGTATTTTTCTTTTCAAGATGAGTTTTTAGCACATTTGCCCCCTAAATTTGTCGCGATTTAGTAAATTGCCCTCCAAACTTTTAATTTTAAGAAGTTGTCCCTCAACTTGTAAAGTTGTTACAATACACCTCATTTTAACGATGATTGTGTTAAATAGTGTTAAAAAGCACGTTCAACAAAAAATTTTAACATTCCAATTCAAATGTAATACAAATCGTCAGTATCTCAACTTTTAATCCCTTAAATCTAATAAAAATTTTGAATAAATTTAGTTAAATGGGGCGCATTACAACAAATTTCTAAATTCAGGGGACAACTTGCCAAAATTAAAAATTTATGAGATAATTTACTAAATCACGACAAATTCAGAAGGACAATTATGCCAGAAACCCTTTTAAGATTAGTGGCCACAACTTTTTGCTAATTATTAAACTCCACCTATTTATTCAAAGCAATTGCGTAAGTATCCAATTTATTTCTTTGAAGATCAATAATGCAGAGAGGGATTCAAGGTAATTCAGAAAGCTCATTGAGACGAGGAGAAATGGAACCAATCGTGCTTTTGCAGTCAATTAAATGACGCTTCAAACTACTCTTTTTGCTAGAATTAACGGCCGATCGAGTTACTTTTAAAGTCACGTTTCTACAAAACTAAAATCAATAAAATTAGTTGGTAGGGTACAAAAATAAGAAAATCTACCGAAAATGTTCAATTATCTATGAATTACTGTACATTAATTTGTTTTACTGGAAGATTTTGTTAGATTTACTTATCTTTCTAATTGTGATACGTAATTATGAGTTATATATAAGGAGACGAACACTATCGACAGGATAACCTAGAAGGCATAAATTGATAAATGAAATAATAATAGTTACAAGAATTGGTGAAAAGACATGGAGAATTAAGTCACAAAAGAATTGAAAAAATTGGTGGACTTTCTGTAATCTTTCCTCAAATTAGCCAAAGGTTTATTTTTACAAGTATTGGTGAAAAGACATGGAGAATTAAGTCAAAAAAGAATTGAAAAAATTGGTGGACTTTCTGTAATCTTTCCTCAAATTAGCCAAAGGTTTATTTTTACAAGTATTGGTGAAAAGACATGGAGAATTAAGTCAAAAAAGAATTGAAAAAATTGGTGGACTTTCTGTAATCTTTCCTCAAATTAGCCAAAGGTTTATTTTTACAAGTATTGGTGAAAAGACATGGAGAATTAAGTCAAAAAAGAATTGAAAAAATTGGTGGACTTTCTGTAATCTTTCCTCAAATTAGCCAAAGGTTTATTTTTATTGGAAAATCAACTATAGGTGTGGATTCGATACATGCACGATAAATTGACTATTATACATGATATATAGGTTTCTAGTGTACACTAAGTACTAATAATCTTTAACTTATCAGTTTGTTGATTTAAAAAAATTAACACTGATTAACTCCTATACATTTGATAGAGTTCTAAATGATGAAATTGGGGGGAAAAAAAATTGGATGAGTCCTAATAGTTAGACGTACCAAATCAATCCATCACAAATGGTTTGTGGGTTTGAATTGTGTGATTTAAGCCTTTTTTATTTAAACTGAAAATTTTGAATCTTATGTGGCTTAGTGTTTAGATAGTATGAGAATTGTGAGAAAGTAAAAAAATGACGCTATGGTTTTAGTATAGCAAATAGGTTCAAACTGTGTGAATTTAAGGGGGGATCAAATTCCCTAAAACCGGTTTTAGATGGGTTCAAATATCATATCATGTTTTAAAATCACCTCAATTAATATAAATCTAAACACTAATTTGAACTTGGTTCATAGTGTTAGGATATATCCCTATAAATCAAATAAAATGTAAATATTTTGCTGATAATCAATGAAATGAGGAATTTTTTCAATATTATTTTGCATACATGTGATGTTTTATAAATATCAAAATCCCTATATTATTTTTATGTAACTTTAAACATTGTACATAATTGTTATATGCAGAGGATAATGTTTGAAATAAAATAATCTAAACTTGTCCGTAATTATAAATTAAAGTTGGGATCTTTAATTTAAAATTACTAATGCGGTTCATTACGTTCTGAATGAAACAATCTTATCCTAGATTGTTAATAATGAGATTATTGGAATGAAAGCATTTTATGTAATATGATTACATAGGACCAGAACGCGATTAATTATGAATCTCTAATAAATTCCGTTATTAAATAGAGTATTTAATATTAATCAATGATGGTCATATACGTATTAATCTTAATTCTGAGTAATTAATAAACTCCTATTTATGATATTATGTTCTTTGACATATTGAGTAATGACACATGTGAATAGTGTCAAAGTCTTGGTATATTGGGAGCATAGTAAAATAAATAGCCGGGAATATTAATTTATAAGATGAAATCCATTCATTCATAATGAAGTAGATGGACGGTTCCCATAAGTGTTGATTCGGGACTTGAATAATAAGAGCGCTCAATTTTATGATTGGATCATAAAATATATTATTCATTAGAGGATCAATGGTACTTATGGAGAAAGATATAATTAAAGAGATTAACAGAAAATACCTAGCTTTAATTATGAATCGTTTATGGAGGATTAATTCATATGTAGTGACTATATCAATGGACAACACAAATTCCGTGAACATAATTATTTTTATTATTTTAAGAGTGCAATTCCAAATTTATAGTGGAGTAATTTAGAATTAATAATTTTGATATATTAATTAAGGTGTTAATTAATTGTCAAAATTATTGGAGCTTAAAATAATAATGTCCATAGTTCCTCTCAATGGCTCTATAAGATTAATGTGAACTGAATATGTCATAGTGGGTTATGATTATTAATTTAGAATTAAGAATTCTAAATACACATATATTAATTAATTTGATTAATTAATATTAAAATTAATTTTAAATTATTTTAAATTAATTTGGATGAATTTAATTATTTTTATAAAAAGGGGATTTTCTTTTTACTCTCCACGTTTCCTCCCTTTTCACTCTCCTGTTAGTGTGTGTATATATATATATATATATATGTATATAAGAGGAAACGTGCAGCACGTTTCCTCATTTAAAAAAAAGAAAAAGAAAAAGGGGAGTGGAAGGAAACGTGCTGTTGCACGTTTCCTCGCCATGAGGAAATAGAGTTAAATTAACATGAAATAATGATCGCATTAAATTTTGATTTATGTGATTCGATCGATACCACGTTTTCGCACAATTTTTTTTGAAAATCCGGTTTGAGAAACCAACACATAGGTCCAAACCGCCACGTAATGAATAAGCCTACAGTTCTTGTCGTCAAAACACGTTGATCGACTCATAAATTTTTATAATTAGAGAAAATTATTGAACTTTCCTTTAGAATGCATGAGTATAGGTATCCTTTCTCTTAATTGACACCATTTTGATAAATATAGTTATTTAATAGAAAAGGTTATTAATTAAGAATTAATGGTAAATGCACTCGAAGGTATTTGTTTTCTTTTAAGTTCGAGTGAACAAGTAGAACATCCATTTAAGTACTCATTGTCAAAGGATTAGTGGACAACCAACGCAGGTATTATTTTGCATGCTTTTGGAGACAACGCACTTGAAATAGTGGCCAACACTGTTTTTGCAACTTTTTTGCAAGAGTCGTATTTGGACTAAAATCCAGCTTTTGGAGAATCTAAAGAGGCTCTTTATAATCAATGTAAATCCCCCACTAAGATCCTTAGTTGCCGATATAACATTATAAAATTGCCATCATGAAACTGAGATCTTGCTTTGAATATACGCTCTAGTCTTAAGTCATTTTATACTAATTTTAGTTATTTCTATAGTTCTATATCCACTCACACTGAATTATTATATATATATATATATATATATCCCCAAACCCAAACTATCCATTCACACCAAAACCAAAACCAAAAACTCATTCCTTTCTCTCAATCACAAGGTACAAACTATGACGACCACTCAACATTTTTCTTCTCTTACATGTGACATGAAAATCATAGAAGCAAAAAACATAGAATCCAAAATCAAAGGGAACCTCTTTGTAAGATTCTATCTTCCTTCAAGCATTAGAAACAACAAAACATCAATTGGGGTCAACACCCGAGAAATCTCCACCAAAAACGACCATGTTTGGAACGAATCCTTCTCCTTGGCGTGCTGTGGAATTAGGGACTCCATAGACACCACCAATCTAAGCCAAGAAAGCTTAGTTTTCGAGTTATGGTTCAGGAACAAAGTGCCCGTCTTTGGGGCTTCAAAGCTCCTGGGGAGGGGAGAGATTTCACTGAAGGATGTTCTTGAGTCACCAAACATGGTCTTTGACAAGTGGGTGACTCTTGTTTCGACACGTGGACATGTGGTTGATGGTGTGAAGTCGCCTAAACTGAAGGTGGAGATGAGAACAGGAATTTTGAAAGATGAGGTGAAAAGGAGGCCTAGAACGGGGAAGAAGTGGAACGAGTGTGGGTGTAAAGATGGTCATGATCATGGTTGTTCTTATGATGATTATGATGTTTTTGCACTAGCAGCTGCTTTAGAGGCTTTCTAGAAAAAAGCATAAATATTGAACTTAATTTGTGGTGTAACATTTTATTTTATTTATGATTTCTTGTTTGATTCAATGACTGCCTTGTATTAGTTTCCTACTCGGACCGAATTGTGAATTATTACTAATAGTATTGTCTATGAATTCGCAACAAGAGGACTTATAGTTTTATTTTTATTTTTACATTTTTAAGATTATTTTCATAAATGCATCTCAAATTAGTATATTATTTTAAAGTGCTACTGATTTTTTAAAACATCCACAATCTATAGTAAATGGTTTAAAATACTCCCTCTGTCAACTTGAGTCTATAATGTTAGCTGATGTGGTAATGTCATTACAGATTTATAAAAAGTATTTTAAATTACAAACTTTAATCATTAATAAAAAAACCCCATTAATGTAATATAAAATCACACAAAAACCAAATCAAATTTAAAGACTGATAATAGAACAAAATAAAAATTATAAAAGCAAAAATAACAAACAGATCAGATCAATTAAAAAAAATAATTAGTATATAATTTCCCTTTTTTTAATTTTAACAAAACAAAACAACTCTCTAAACTCTTTAAACAGGAGCAATTAAAACCATTCCGTTCTCCTCCGTCAAATTTCAAATGGATGCATACAAATAAAATAACAGAGCACCCCTCCTAAAAAGAGAGACGAATATGGAGATGAATGATTGAAAAAGAAAAACCGTTGGAGCACGTCCAATTTCAAATGGATGCATACAAATAGTTGATGCATACAAAAATACCATATACAATCACACATAATATGTAATATAAAAATTTTGAAACAAAATAATATGGTTCATAAAAGGGTTAAGAATAACATGTAGAAAAACCGTTGGAGCACGTCCAATTAGGTTAGCAACTACTCAAACTATCATATCATAGCCGAATCTAATTAGAGACAAGCGATTTGAAGGACGGCGAATTCATGAAGGCTTCGCGTATTGAGCGCAAGCCTTATAACCGTGGGTAATCGACTCGTGCGCAACCACAACGTGAGTTATATGATCGAGCAATCAGCAGTCTTGTCGAACCATTTCAGCTGACTCTTCCGCGGAGGTTCAACATTCTAGATATTTGGGTAACTCCCCACGAACCCACATGACACCTCAATAAACGTGCTTGGACACAAGTCAAGACCTCAACTACCCACTACCCACTTTTTTAGTGAGATAGGGTCTGTTTAGTTCGTTGATTCGAATTTTTAATTTGAGTTGAGACGTAACTTTATGTAAAAGCTATTTACTGTAGTAAAAAAGTTAAATGTGACTGTTTCTGAGAACTTTTTATTATAGCAAAACTCTAATCGGTGAAATGAACAAAGCCAAAGAGTAAAAGGCCCCAAAGCAAGGGATTACGATCCCCATAGTGTGTAATTTTATATTTAGAGAGATTGGTGAGAAAAATGGAGAGGGGACTGAGAGTTTACATACGTCAGAAGCATCTTGCATTTATAGGGTTCTCGTTCTCAGATTGTATCTGGATTCTAGATTGTGAAACCCCCTGGCCCTGCACAAGTGAATGTATTCAAGATTAAACCCCTATAATCACTGGTGTTATTTTATTTTCTGCCTTTTTTTTTTACTTGTTTACATTCATTGGATGCTTGTGGAATTCTTAACTACGATGATCAAAGGCCCAAAAATTAAACTTATTTTAATTTGACTGTAGAAAGTACGTCTACAGTACTATTTCTAAAAAAAAACCTTGTGATAATCACTCTCTCGTTGTAGAAACACAAGTACCACAATGAGTCTCTGAATTCTTCGAATTCCATATTACTGGAAAACTGAAAGGACATCTCAGAGAAGTTTGGAGTACTCTGCGTGTACAGCTTGGACGCGGTTGAGAACAATGCGTCATCTTGATCTGCAACAAAAGCATGGTTGAGAAGCATCTCAGTCGTCCATCTCTCAGTAGGATCCTTGATAAAACACCAACACCCTTGCACTCATTTTTAGACAGAAACATACACTTTTTCATACTTTTCAGTATTTCCTTCATCCTATTTCCCTCCGTATCTACGGAAAACATTATTGTAATATTTTTTTATGATCATAGTAGAACATTTAGAAATCGTTTGATTTGTGGATTAGAATCATGTGATTAGAATCATTTTTTATTTATGTGTATTTTTTGTGAAAAAAAATACTGTAGCGAATCACGAACCGCGATTCGAATCAGAGAACGAATATAGGTACCAAATATGTCCTTAAAGACCTGATAAAGGATGTTTTTCTTTTTATCGAGCGAATCCCTATAAAATTTTTGTGTCCTTTTCTCTTTTATTTTTCTGTTTATTTATTTCGTTGCAATCGTATTAAAAACATAATCATCCGAATTTAATAATCAGTTAAATTTAATTGATGAATTTCACCCTCTACACCCACTCCATCACTTCAACTTTACAAACTTTGATCACACCAAAACCATCAGGCAAAAGTTTTTTTTTTTTTTTTCTCGAACGCCTATGCATGGCACAATGTCATGCGACCTAAAATAGAAGGCCATATTAATCTATCTTAAGAATCCTAATTACAATCTCGCTCTGGCAAGAACTTAAATCCTAATAGAAGTAGAAAAACACACGGAATGACATCCTAATTCAAACTTTTCCAATAAAAAATGAAAATATGAAAAATATTAATTTGGCCCATTTTTTTCTCTAACGATCTTCAATCAAGAGACGGTGAATGGAATATTCTTTTTTATTATTATTGAGAGGAATTTATGCATGAATTTGGAGTAGTGCAAAAGAAACCACATGCGTCTAGGTGCTCGTTTCCACGAACGACATTGACATTTTGTACTGTACCGTGACGGAAAAAATAAAAAGAAAAATAAAAGAAATAAAGAAAAAAAAATGAGAAAAAAGATCTAAAGTAAAAAAAAAGGTAATAAAAGATAAAAAAAAATAAGAAAAAAATTATGCGTAATGTTTCCCAACTAAAATTGAAATTTATGTCTTTATAAAAAAAATGAAATTTATGGGATGACATGCTAAAAATGTTTATGTAAGGACACATTTGAGAATTAATTAATTTAGCAGGATAATTAGAAAAAAAAACATTTTAAATAACTGTAAAAAAGTATTTAAAGAAGATATATTTAAAAATATAGAGATCAAAAATTAAAAGATGTAATAAAAAAAAGATTAGGGAGGAAAAAGAAGAAAAGAAAAAGAAAATTAAAAGAAAAAAGAAAAAAAGCTAAAAAGTAAAAGAAAAAAAAAAGAAAAAGAGAGGCAACAAAAGGGGGCAACGAAACGGCCGCTGAAGACATATTCTCCCTTTTAGGAAGAGAATAGATATATAAAAACAATGCACCAATTCAGTGTAAACTAAATAGAAAAATCATTTTAATATTATTCTTATTTTTGTATTTTTAATAATATTAAAATGATATTTTAATATATATACTTTTGGTATCCTAATCTCGTTGTGAAAAAAAAAAATGTTCGTTAAACCTTTTTCTCCTTTTTTGAAATTGGTTTAAACTTAAAAAATACCAAAAAAAAATATCATTTATCGATATTTGGACACAAAGAAAATTTTTTTATTTTCAATCTTTTTTCTTAATTTCAAACCATTTAAATTAAAAAGAGGAAAATGGTTTTTTTTTAAAAAAGTCATTTCATGTCCAAAATAAAAATAGTTTCAGGCTAGCATTTAGAATGAAAGTTTTTTATAACGTCAAAGTGCCATTTTAAATCATAAAAACACAGAATATCAAAATGAGTATTTTTTTTATAAAAAAAATATCAAAATAATTTCTCTCTTCCGTTATAACTATTTAAAGTGCTGGGACCATATCCATTCAATAAAATATAGTTTTCATATTTTTTCTAACCATCGGAAAAAGTTAACGTACCCTTATTGTAGGTTACAATTTCCACTACTATTTACCCTGCCAAATTCAGCACATGTAAATTCTGTCTTTTCTCTTAAGAAAATTTTTGGCGAAAAAAAGGTCATGCACATTTATCCGCCAAAATTCTTAGAGTACATAAGGAGTTTTTTTATGTTAAAAAAAGGAAAAAAAAAAAAAAGTAAAGTTGCATTGCAACCAAATGGAGAAAGAAAAATGCTACAATCACTTGCCGCATCACTCTCATGTTTTTCACTCTCTACCTTCTTCTTGTGCCACATGTTATCTCACATAACTATGAAAATGAAGCATTACCATTCTTTCTCTTTTAATTACAAGTCTGCCGTGTTTCAATATTACAAAATTGTTATTGTGGTTCTCTACTTTTATTCTTTGCATTTTATACCTATTTTAATGAAAATAGAATGCTAAAGCCATTATTTATAAGTAAATAGTATTCTTGTAATTATATAAGCAAGCACAGGGAAATAAGGCATATAGAAATGGGTGAACGTGTAAGAATAGATAATACAAAACAATGCAAGTTTTTTGGATGATCGGCTGGTGGATCTCTGCTTCTCCGAACTCAACCAGAAAAAAAGAGCAAAAAAGTGCTTCACCTGCGTCAAACAAGTTTTAGATAATTACGTTTAAAGGTTACAATCTTTGTAAAATTTGAAATTCAAATTACATTGTTCTTGAAAGAAAGTCTATTACTACCACTTCGTCAACTAATTCACTAGTATGGTGGCTGCTAAAATCAAGTAAGTGCACCGATTGTCGAACACATACAAATGACTCTTTCAATTAAACCACTACAAGCGACGAGAAATCTCAATCGATTAAAATTAAAAGACTTATAACATTAAAATCACCTATGACACTGCAAAATAACAGATTAAATAAATAAATCGTACTTAAAATCAGAAAAGTGAGAGACTGCCTCCGTTATTGCACAACTAAACAAGAAATACAACCAAAACACGTGGCAAAAACACCCAAACAACAAAATCAATCACGCCATCATTAGGCCAACAAAAACTAAAAACAACAAAACAGTCCCAATCTACAAACAGACTAAATAAATAAATCGTAGTTAAAATCAGAAAACGGTGAGACTGCCTCCGCTATTGCACAACTAAACGAGAAATACAACCAAAACATGTGGCAAAAACACCCAAACAACAAAATCAATCACGGCATCATTAGGCCAACAAAAACTAAAAACAACAAAACAGTCCCAATCTACACAAACGATGCTTATAATGACAAGACAAACCACCAACATCGACGAAGGAAAAACAACCAACACAAGAAGCGATAGAGGCAGCCACTGACAAACCACCAATCAAGAAAGGTGCATGGCTAAACCAAAGCCCCGAGCCCCACCTGAAGGCCTCTGACGCCTAAGGGACCCTTGAGTTGAAGACCTACGGAAGTACTGATGCACTTGGAGAATGTAGCCATCACAGCGATGAAACACCTCCTAAACAAGATCCAGAGCTTCAACCTAGCTGATCGCCCACCACCATCGCTGACGGTTAGTGGCGGGGTCAATTTTTTATTTTAGTGAGAACGTACATTAAATTTTTAAATAAATTATATAAGAAAATATATTTATTTTAATATGGACATATATTATTTCTGCGGAAATTTAAGTATAAAATTTTAAAATTTTTTAAAATAAAATTTTTTTAAATAAAATTTAAGTGGGAACAGTAACTCTTACTGAGCTGTACTTAAATCTACCACTACTAACAGTATAGCCACCATGCTATACTAAGAACCATCTGGAGGTGGTAGTGGATCCCAGCCAATGACGAGGCCAGAATTTTTTGTGAGGGGAGCTAATAACTACAACAGACATTTACAAAAAAAAAAAAAAAAAGTAATTATAAATTCTAAAATTGTCCTCCATGTGTTTTGATCACGTGTTTTAAAATGTTGCATAATAACTTTATTATTGAGGCTATTAAAGATGTTTTTTTCTCGATGTACAAACGGTAAAATGTGATTTATTCATTGATCTCATTTAGGATTGTATAGTTGATTCTTCATAATAATCATACCAAAACGGTATCATGCTACACTACTAATTGATATTGTATTAGGATGATATATTTTTCTTGTCTAAAAATCTTCTGATGTATAATTTTAACTTTCTTTATAAGGAATAATTGCATATAGTACATTCTGCTTTAAAGGGATATTTTTACACTAGTGAAAGAGAAAAAAAATTCAAGAAATAAGAAAATAAGAGAAAATAAATAAATAAGGTTACTTCAATAAAGAATCCAAATTATTATTAGGGGAGAAGATCTTGTCAAGTACCTATAGATATTAGTTGGAGTTTGGTTTAAAGTGATAGTTTTTTTTTTTTTATTTGTTTTGGAATAAAACCCTATAACAAGTAGCACGAGGTGAGGTTTTCACTGCACCTACAAATTCGTGCCAAATTTAATTTAGTTTTTGCACAAAAAGAACTGCATAAATTCTTAAACAAGGTTCTTACTGTGTTATAAAAGGTAATAATTCGAAGATAAAGAAAAAAATTATTGCGAGAAATTTTATGCATCCACGGAAATTTTTAGTTTGCTTATTTATCAACCTAGAACTAGAATAAGCCAATGTAATTATTTATGGATCTCATCAATTTCAAGAACAAGGGTAACAAATTCTGAGCAAATTACATGTATCATTAGTATCAGCTGTCAATGACATCTTTTTTTTAAAATAAAGAATTCTGTAAGACATTCAAATAATCTATTAAAGGACATAACTTCTATCTAGACGCCTTTATTAGTATTGAATTTCTTTCATTGCTGCTTTAATTAGCCTTTTTTTTAGTAGCCAGCTTTTATTAGCTTTTAGACTTTCTGATGTATGATGAACATTCGTATGCTTATGAGTTATAATAACCCTTTTTACAATTTTTGTTGTCTTTATTTTTCTTAATAGGGAATTTTCCTAATGTCTTTTCAAAGATTTTAGGACAAATTTTATAAATTTTATGTGAGCTTTGTCACTTGCGTCAATATGTCTCCTGAACTTTCAAATGTACATGTTGTGCCCTTTGAACTTTGTCACTTATGTTAACATGCCCCTTCAGGTTAACTCTGTTAATATTTTTAACCGAAATGTTTATAAACACCTCTTGAACTTTGTCACTTGTGTCAATATGCCCTCTGAACTTTAAAATGTACCTATTTTGTCCTTCGAACTATAATATGTCTCTAACTTTTTCCATTTATCTTGATTCTATTAGTTTTTTAAACGAAAATATTGATATATCATACTACAATTTCTAGAGTTGGAGCAAAATAACATTCTCTACCGTGCAAAAAAAAAAGATTAATTTCAAAAAAATTTCATGAACTATGACCCTTTTAAGTTCTAACACTTTACCCCCCGAATTTTAAAAAGTAACATCCGTTTCCCTCCGAACTTTGTTCTGTTAACAAGCTTTATTCTTCTGTTACAACGAGTGACGGAAATCGTCAAGTGTCACTTATTTAAGAAGAATTGAAAGCGCAATTACGCTTATACCCGCATAATCATATAATTCTCTATTTTTGAAATTATATATAATTCTTTCATCTTTTCATTTTCAACATTTTCCCAAATAGAAGTTTTCGACATTATCAAAAATCTCTCTTGTTTACACTTTTGCTGGAGGTGAGAGAAAAAAAAAATTTGGTTTTGTTTTGGGTTTAAGATAGAGTAAGTGAGAGAGTTTAGAAACAGTGGATTGCATAGACTGTGCTACTGATGCATCAGTTGTGAGTGCAATGAATGAGAGAATTGAAGCAGCCACAGAGATTTTTCATCTTCCAAGGCCTTGGGTCATGATCAGTGTTAATAATGATGTAAATCTTCATTTTCGCAATGCTGATATGTCTTGGGATTTTGTTATAAGCTTTAGAACAACCTTGTTTTTTCTTACAAAACCAACTTAGGCAAAGATTGAACAAAAAATGAGTTTTGAGTTTATGTTGGAATCCTTTATGATGATGATGAGGGGTTTTTTTTCATTTTTTTTTGTTGGAATCATTTATGTTTTTTATATTGGTTTTAATTTTAGTTTTGATCTGTGGGAGATTGGTCTCCGGTTGGAAAATTCGAATAGTCGTGTTAAAATGGTTTTTTTTTAACGCATTCGAGTTTTTTTAAATAATCTAATGTTATTACAGGTTAACTTACGATAATACCTTCTTCAGATGAATCATGTACCTGACACGTGACGATTTCCGTCACTAATTGTAACAGAATGATAAAACTTATTAATAGAATAAAATTTGAGAGAAATAAATGTTAATTTTTAAAATTTAAGAGATAAAGTGTTATAAGAATTATAATTTAAGAAGAATTTGTAAAATTAATCCAAAAAAAAATATCCTTTATACAAAAAAAAAAAGAACTACAGAAAAAAAAAAAAAAAAACAAAGAGAAAGGCAAAAATGCAATACACATGGCGGCCGCACGTAGCGAGTGGCTAAAGTTACGTACACTCATCACTCAGGCTTTCCCTTTTTTTATTTTTTTTTCAACTGGCTTTCGTTGGATTGCGCAGCCCAAGATCTTTCTTCCAAAACGACACAATACAATAAATAAATAAATAAAGATTTTAAAAATCTAGTCACAAAAATATCCTCAATCCCCTCAACCGCAACTCAACTTCAAAATACCTTTCAACTACCACAAAGAAAGAAAACACAGAGAAAACAGAAACCCAAAAAAACACTGAAGAGAGAGAGAGGGAGAGAGAATGGAGAGAAACACAGCAGTGGGTGTGAGAAAGCCTCGTACTTCCACTTCCGATCTGCTCACATGGAGTGAGGTCCCTCCGCCGTCCTCTGCCCCTCCCGTCGTCCCTCGCTCTCGCCAGGTATTCCTGTCGTTTTTCGCTTGTTCTCGTCGGCTTCCTCCTTTGTTAATCCACTTCGTTATCCAAGTCAAACATTTCTTCTTCTTTTTCTGAAAAAGCATCTTTGTTGATTCTTGTCGTTTTTAAGCCGTCGGATGGGATGAGGAAAGTGTTGCATGGAGATCAGGTGACGGACGACGAAGCGCAGACTCTCCTGAAATCGTAAGATCTGCTTTTAGAAAAATGTTTCTTCTTTTTAATTTTAATTTTTTTTTTCAAAAACATGTTTATGCAGAAATGGTGGTTAGTTTTTGGTGAATGCAAGTGGTGCAGTCAGATCTATCAATTTCATTTTTTTTTTCTTGTGATTTGCGAAACTAACTAAATTTGGTCATCATATGAAAAAAAAAAAAAAAAAAAAAAAAAAAAAAACAAAAACCAAGAGATTTACTATTTTTGAGTTTTGAAATGGGTCAGTTTAATTTTGTAATCTGGTTGCGTTGCTGATAGTTGGTGCTACAATTTAGGAACAAATTTTTACAATGAACTCCTGATTTTCCTTGTTAAAAAGTTACAACTTTGGTTTCTTCTTCTTCTTCTTTTTTTTTTTTTTGTTTTTGAAAATTGGACTCCTAAGTTTTGACATTAAAAGACTTCGTCTTTCTAAGTTTGGAGAATTTTGTGGCAAGATAGGGAAATACTCTATTGAAAAGACCCATTTTTTAACTTTCTGATTAAAGTTAGATACGGTATTTAACCGTTGAATCAAATCAGATGAATGACAGCAGAGATATTGGGCGGGTAAAAATTGCCAGACTTCGGATGCCTCTGGACACTTATTCCGGGGCTAAATACTCCGGCTGATGAATCTGAATGAGAAAAATATTGGTGGAAAAAAAAAAAACTTATTTGCTCTTCCTAATTTGTGGATAAATTGTATGTAGGGTATAAATTGCTCTGGGTTTAAAGATTTAACTTCGGATTTTAACCTGTGGATGATTTGTTTTAAGTCAAGAGTTTTAACTTTCCATTTGCATCTTTTAGGAAACCATGTTCAGGTTATAAACTGAAGGAGATAACTGGAAGTGGTATATTTTCTGATAAAGGCAATGCTGCTGCACAAGCTGATGCTGCGAAATCCAAGACAGGGCTACGTGTGTATCAGGTATTCGGATGAAGTTTCCTGCATACGAGTGCCCAAGATTATTCATCATCATAAGAGTTGCTTTTTAATCTTTTATGGTTGGATTTTCAGCAAGCCCTGAATGGAATTAGTCAGATATCATTCAGTGCTGATGGGAGAATCTCTCCTAAGAAGCCGACCTCTATACCCGAGGTAGCAAAGCAGCGTGAATTGAGTGGAACATTGCAAAGTGACTTGGATTCGAAGGCTAAAAAGCTCATATCGAATGCTAAGAACAAGGAGCTTAGTGGACATGACATCTTCGGCCCTCCTCGGGAAATAGTGCCTCGGTCAGTGGCTGCTGTTCGCACCTCGGAATCTCAAGCAAGTAAAGACATGGGAGAACCTGCACCAAGGAATGTCCGCACATCTGTCAAAGTTTCAAATGTGAGTATGTGATGTAGGACCGAGATAGATTTAAGAAAGTGAGAGAAAGAGCTAGAGAAACAGAGAAGAGTTGAGGAATGAAAGAAGAAGAATTTAGAAGATATAATAGAGAAAATATGTAACATCAAGTTCTGAAGTGAAAGATACAAATACTAGGTCTATTTACAGATGCATAAAATCTAATAGTAATCAAACTCAGAAATTCTAAATAACCCTAGTAAATAAACATTAATAAGTTAACTCAAATAATTTCAAATCCTATATTCGCGCCTCACATAAGTGCCTAATAACAGGATAATTACGATCTCCATCAGTATGTATTGTTGTTTTCATTAAAAATAACAGTTCTTGCAAGACTCATACACACTTTATTTTCTGCTACATAACCTCCTAAAACTGTGCCTTTTTTTTTCACATAGCCTGCTGGGGGCCAGAGCAACATCCTGTTCGGTGAAGAACCTATTGTCAAGATAACAAAGAAGATAAACAACCAGAAGTTTGCTGAGTTGAAAGGCAACAACATATTTAAGGGAGACGTTCCTCCGGGGTCTGCTGAAAGGCCACTGAGCGTGGCTAAGCTGAGGGAGATGAGCGGCAGCAACATCTTTGCTGATGGGAAGGCAGCATCCAGAGACTACCTAGGCGGTGTACGCCAGCCCCCCGGTGGTGAGAGCAGCATTTCCTTGGTTTAACACGTAACGCCTAACATGTTATGATAAATTAAGCCCGCGCTTGATAATCAGCATTGTGTCCTTAAGAGTCTTTGAGTGTGAGTAGTGATGCTTTTAGGAACCAGTAATTAGTTTCGGGTAGATGGAGAGCCGTGAGGCTTGTCTAATTGAGAATTTGGAGTGTTTCGACAGTGTGCTTAACCTTGTCATTACAAGTTCAAGTTTCTTTCTCCCAGGACCAACTTATTTTATTAATAAAATTGTCATTTAGGTATTTATAAGTTTATCTTACTGTATATTTTATTAATAAAATTATCATTTAGGTACTTTATAAGTTTATCTTACTGTATCAGTTTTAGGGGCAATTCTGCCATGCTTCCACATATAGACTGATTGACATAAAGAATGAATGAAATTGGAAACAGAAAAAAAGGACTTGAAACATCACATACAGAAACAGAAGACTCAGCCCATCATTTATTCAAACTTTAGTCTTAAAAGCATTCACAAATAAATAGCATAAGGTCTACAAATCCATAACAAGGCACAACACAATAACAAGCAACGACACAGGGCAGGTGTAAGGAAGCGACAAACGGCACTCATAACTCAACTGGAACCATGGAGAAGAACTCTTGAGATCAAGAAAACTCTCAAGCATCACCGTGTCCAGTCAGTTCAATGAGAAACTTCTCATAATCTCCAGAGACGTCTTTGGCAATGGCACGGTCCAAAGGGACGCTGTTCCTTCGATGGTACTCTTCTTTGATGCGTTTCAGGTCAACCTCAGCCCTGGTGGTGATAACCCTAGTAAGGCCCCACTCGTCTGTCCCCAACTTGTTGATAGCCTGCCTCAGAACCTTTTCATAGTATTTCTCTGGAACTGTCAAGTTCTTGATTACTGCTCTCAATAATTTCAGGTATTCATCATTGGGATCGGCCTTCAAATCCTGCATGGATATGGTTGCTTCAGTATCAGTGAGGTTCCAACAGCAGTGAAAAAGAAGTTCTTTCAATAAACTAAATCAAATATCAGAAGCCTCTCGAATATGGATGTCGATTTCATACCTTGTTGATGGCGTTTCCGTAGGAATTGTTATAGTGATTGAGGGTTGCATTCAGCTGCGCCTTACTCCTAGTAGAGATAATCCTGATGAAATCATCGTCATTATAGGCCTTATTTGTGATCTTGTCACGAAGTATCTTAGCCTCTGCTTTTGCCAATGTATTGTTCACTTCATCTCCACCGTACCTCAATGAACTCACAAGAGGAACCAAAAGCTGTATTGGAAAACGATAGCATTAAAAAATGAACGATAAAGCATTTATTACAATCAAATGAAGGATTGAAAAACAAGATCAAAGCGCAATATTTAAGGATATGAGAAAAATCCCCCATCAATGTGATTGTCACAACAATGAAATGTACCTATTTTCTTCATCTCTTATTAAACCCATCAAATTTATTTCCCTGTATTGATTTTACCAATATATAAAGTTTTCATAATGCCAGTGAGGGATCTCCAATTAAGAGGAAAACAAGTTTGGTATAGATGTTAAAATACAAGGTAGAATTGCACCCAACAGAATATTGAAGACGGAAGTCATTACGACAGAGCTGAGAAAGCATAAGCAATCCATTGCTGACTTTGGAGGTTCAGGGGCGTTACCTTGCGGTAGTCACCGGTTGCATGATATGCGATGTCTTCTTCGATGGATCTCTTGTAACGAGCATGATATGCCTTCCTTACCTCAAATAGGTCGTGAGTAGACCTAGTAGTAGCAATTTCAACAAGAACCCACAGATTTGAAGTGAATCTCCGTGTGGAATCATAGGCCAAAAGTGCATCACGCTCAGCAGGGTCCAATGTCCACAGCAGCACAGCTCGCTGATTGATGAGAGCATGGCATAATAAGTAAAAGCCTCTCACTTACAGTAAATTTACTTCACAACTGTCTCGCAAAAAGAAGTGCAAACACAGCTCTAACAAGAAGAAAAGTAAAAGCTATAATTTTTCAGTTAGTGCTTAGAACCACAATTTTTTAAGAAATTTTCTAATAAAAACGAGGACGGAATTTTATAAATCTCATCAAAACTCTTATACAAGTTTAAAAGTCTTCTCAAAATAGCTTTTTTTAAAAAATGCCCAGATTTTGTTGCTTTTGACTGAAGGTCTTAAAATTTATCCAACCACTTCAAGAAGCAGGTTTTAAATCAAGGAGCCAAAAACAACTTCCAGGGAGCAACGCCAAACAGGCCATGTGCTATCGGAAGATCCACAATGAAGATAAGTGCATAAATTATCATAAAAGCTTGACCTCAAAGTCACTTGAAAGCTCTTTGTCCAGTGCTTTCAGAAGATCCTCATTATAAGTATCAGCATATGCCTGCCTAATCAGTTTACGCTGATGAGCATTCCTGTGAGTCAAAATCGATATGATTAAGCTCTCATTTGTTCCCCATCCTGCAAATATCCAAAGCAATGCAGATCATTACTGGTGAATTGACATGTCGGCGATGAAGTCATACTAGTGGAAGAAATTTTTTTTTTCTCTAATCCTGTTTTTTTTTAAAAACCATAGCAGAAACTTTAATCAGAAGAAAATTAATAAGACCACTGATGATCATCTTGTGATCAAACAAATGTAAATACTGTTGAATCTCGATGCAGTACGCATGACAACATCTGATCTGACTTTAGATTAAAATTTCTTCACAAAAGAATGTCTCAGTGAAAAAGTAGGGATCTACCAAAAAGTTTGAGGATCGGTTTGATCCTTGGTTATTCCCGAAATTTCTAAACAAAATTTAGATTATCTAAAGAAGCTTTAACATAATAAAAACAAGTTATAAAAATAGAGAATCTAGAGCCAAAAAGGTCAGAGACCTTTATTAGGTTCCTTGGAAAGTTAAGATCGCAGTGACAAGACGAACTTGTTCTCTCATTTTCTTTATACTAAAAAAAAAAAAAAAAGTTTCTACGCTTTCTTTGATCGGTGAGTGTGACCAACCTCAAATTAAAAATGGCAAATAATAAGCAAAATATTAAAAAAAACGAATATCTATTTACTTTTTTGCGTGAGAAACGATAAGAACAAATCTCTTTAACACGCACACATGGTGAGATCAGAAAGAAATGGATCCGGTCTTTAGCTCACTACAAGATTCATAATTATCAATCACATTTAAAGCACAGAAAGCAAAATCTAGAAAAGATAATCAGTACAGACAAGCAGATCGAGCAAAAAACAGATGATCGATGATCCAAATCCAGTAAAGATATTCAAAATCAAGATCGATTTCAATCAAATAACTGAAGAAAACTGATCATCAATCTGAGCCTTAGAGATGAGAAGTTAAAAGAAGACCTTCAAAAGCCTTTCGGAGTTGCTCAGCGTCCTCCAATGGAGAAGGAACCACCTCCGGCACGCTAAGAGTCGCCATTATTGCCTCTCTTACAAAGTTTCTCTCTCTAGTCTGTTCGCAAGTGTGAGTAGTGAAACAAAGTTGTGGAGATAAGTGAACCTTTAATAGAGGAAAAAATATTTTAATAAAGGAAATTAGATTAGATCACAAAGTTAAAAATGGTAATTATTGCGAAAAATTTAAAATAGTATTCCAACTTTTTTCGTTTTTGTGTTTCACATTTTAGTCATTTTCCCATTGTCGTTTTCGGGCAATATTAGTGTGAATGTAACGTGGAAGAAGGATTGGATATTTCTTTGCTTATTTTCATACAAACATACCCACTTCGTCATTCCAAATGCCACGTGGCGGTATTTCACGTCTCGGAGATTCCGCTAATGCGATCGCGCAAATTACAATTTGCCGCGCGCATAGGATCTGACGCTCTTATGTTACAATTCACCAATTATTTCCCCCTTTATTTTGTTTTAATAAAAAACGATATTCTTTTATTTTATACATCACATTTTGAATAAAAAATGTACAGTTCTTAAAATTATATTTTTGTGAATTTTAAATTCATGTTAAATTTATACATTTGGGTCAGCAATTGATTTTGACATCTAAATTAATAAATTTAGGGCTTGTTCGGTTGTATTTTTGAGTTATAGTGATTTGAGTGTAGATCTTAAGTTGAATTTGAGTTAAAGTTATAACTTGAGTTTGTGTTTTGATGTGCATATTTGAGTTATGATTTGAATTGAAAATCTATTTGAATTTGTGTTTGAGTGTGTCAAAACTTGAATTTGTGTTTGAGTGTGTCAAAACTTGAATTTGTATTTAGATAGTATTTTAATAAAAACTCAATGGTGATGAAAAATTTTAATAGGGTATATGGGTGAGATTTTATTCGTCTCTTCATTGTGAACGCGTAGAAAAAAAAATCATCTCAATTGGAATTAAAACGAAAAAGTTATGACGTTTTTAATAATAAATAAATATTGTTCATTAACTTGAGTTTGAGTTTAAGAACTTTAGTTGAAGGGGAAACTTGAACTCAGATTTTAACCCAAAACTCAAGTTCAAAATCAAATTTTACAAATAAATATGAACTTGAACAAAGTTGTAATTTGAGTTCATATTTTTTTTTTGAGTTTTACTCCAAAAGAATAAGCCCTTAGTTATCTTAAGTAAACTTTAGGCCTTTTTGCATGGAAACTCTATAAACTTATTGTATTTAGCAAATCGGTCCTCAAACTAAAATTCTTGACAATCAATCCCTCAAATTTTGAAAGATGTTGCATAGCAAGTTCAGTTGAAAATAATATTAAGGGGATATTTAGTTGGAGGATTTAAATCATAATTTAAATCATTGTTCATGTTTATTATAGTGTTTTCTCTCATAAAAAATATACGTAAATAAAAAATGATTCTAATAATATGATTTTAATTTATGAACCAAACGTTTTTTAAATTTTTGACGGATTATCCCCACATGAAAAGCACGTGACCCTTTGATAAAGGAAAGGATAGGTCTTTCATATTCGAAAAAAAAAAACAAAACAAAACAAAAATTAAAAGATAAAAGAATACAAAGCATCTGATTGTTGCCCCACCCCATCGCACCCCGACCCCACCTGCCAGAAACCAGCCTTGCTCCCATGAACCTTGTCAAATCTGACATCATAACTCACCAAATCCAGAATTGCACCCATCACTTCTCCGATTTTGCACGTTGCCAAATCTCAATGCCGCAGCAACACATTCCTCCCATCATCATAGTGATCTCGTCCTCACCAAATCCTGACATTGCAGCTTCCCCCTCTTCTCGGCATCATAGTGACCCCCTCCCAAAAAGATTCCTAGTGTCACAGCGACCTCCCGTCAAATGCGGTCGTCGCAACAACCCGCTCCGCTGCCAAATCTTCTGCTTCAGAGTATGCTAGATCTATGGCATCAAAGCAACCCTCATCCCTTGCAACTCAGCGACCTCTTCCCGGTGGTGCAACAATCTCATTATTGGAAAGACACCACATGTAAAATTAACTCAATGTATTTAAAGAGTCTAATTTGATCTAAAAAATTAACATATTAGGTTTTTAGTCTTTTTATGTATATAAATCATTTAACATATTCATTAACTTTCTATATGAAATAATACACACATGCACTTTTCTTAACAATCTTCTTATCATGTGTGTGTTCACCGAGCTCCTCCTTAAATCAAAGTTTTTAGTAGCCTGCACATCCAAGGATCACACTCCAAATAGGAGCCAACTCGAGCATTGAAAAGATAGCTGAAACCATGCGAGTCCACTAAATGCTCTACCATCCACACTTGTAACTGCAACAGAATGTGATCGCTTCACCATGTACGAACCATTGACTCTGAACTACTTGTTGGAGAGACATCACATGTGAAACTGACCCAACACACTTTAGGAGCCCAACTTGATCAAAAAAAATTAATCTATTAGGTCTTGAGTCCTTCTATATATATAAAAGTCATTTTACATCTTTATCCATTTTTCATATGAGACAACACACAAATACATTTTTCTCAACACCCATCTCCCCGAACATAGTACTTTGTACAACAAAAATGAAGGATGAACAAGGACAATATAATGCTAGATTCATTCAAAGTAATGTCCAGATTCATTTCTTTTAATAGTGATGTGTTTTTGTTTTTGTTTTTTTTTTTTTCTAACCACCCTTTGGTAAAAAGGACATCTAATACCTCTAAAAGAGAGATCATGTGCCAAACACATGTGTAAAACTATTAAATATTAAACAAATGTTACACAGATTTCAATGTTTGAGTCTCTGATTGTCAATAATTTTAATTTAGGATTAACTTGTCAAAAGTGACAAATTCAGGGTCTCATGCAAAAAAGTTTAAAATTTAACCAAAGATTTATGTTAAACAATTAAGGACAAATCAAATTGTATATTCAAGCTAAGTTATAAAAGGTAAACTTGTCATTTCTCTGTTTTTTTTTTCTTTTTTTGGAGAATGATAAATTTGTCATTTTGTATCCGGTTATGCATTTATTCATAACTTATAAAGGGTAATTCAATGGTCAAAATTAATGACTCAAAATATATAAAGTTGATATTAATTTACAATTTATAAGTACAAACTTTAGAACAACCAAAACCTAAATAATTTCTAATAAATTCAAAATAAAATTTACAAAGTAGTGAATATCAATAGAGTGTGTGTAATGTTGCTCGGCTCTGTTGTAGCCTCACATCATAAAGAGTGATGATAAATCCATGCACTAAGCAATATTATTGGTACTGTTACGACGTTTAGTTTAATAATTATTAACTTCTTAAATAAAAGAAGGGAGTTTTATGGTAATATCAGAAAAAATGAACTACCGATAATTCTCTATTATCAATTATTAAATTTGTATCAGAAGCTGTCTGTTTTACATAATTTTTTAATCTAATGTGATTTGGATCATATCTAATAATAAAAAACTGCTCTTAAAAAGAATCAGATATTGCATGATGCTAAAAACAAAAATTAAACACTTAAATTTTTTATTGTTAGATATCGCTTAAATCGTCTTCTTTCCTCTCATTGTCACCACCCAAGAGAGACATGGATGACGGGTGTAAACTACTAAAATTTTAGATGTCCTCCGTTCGATGAAAAAATAAGAACAAGAAAGAAAGAAAAACAAATCTAGTGGTTTGATAATTCTAGCTCTTTCC